TAATCCATAAATTTTAACGTTCCCTCCCACTGTGACTCGCTGAAATTCCACTCAACCACACTGCTCCTATTAAAGTAGGCCAAAAGTAACAAACAAACGCCGTCGTAGCCACCGTAAAGAGATAAAAGTGAGAAAGAAAGAGAGAGATGTATCTGAAAAAAAAAGAAAATCGAAATCGAATTTGCGGAAAGGAGACTAGCAAAGTTGTGAATGGCGATGGTTGCCACGTGCCGACGAAAACTCGGCCCAATAAATCACGTCCTAGGGATCTCTGAACGGCGATCCATCGTCGAGAGGCGAAATTTAGAGAATCGAGCGAGATCTTCGTCGCGAACGAAGAAAAAAAAAAAAAAGATGGAAGGCGGCCGTCACCCCATTTCGCCCTCGAAAGTATTAAAAACCATTTCGACTTCGACGCGCAAGTTATTTATCGACGATTAAACCGAAAGAAGCCGGAGAGAGCATTTAACGAAGTCGGCACTTTTATGCAGAAGCAGATTCTTTGATATTTCCGCGACGTATCGGAGCTTAATTGAGATACTTTTAACGAATGGTCGTTAATTAATCCGAAATCCTTTTTTTCTTCTTCTTTCCTTCCTTCCTTCCTTTCATTCTTTCTTTTCGATACCCTCGAGCGATATCGAAATTTTAATGGAAATTTCATGGAACCTCGCCTCACCAACCCGTTTTATCTTTATCTGTTGTCGGAGGTAAATGGAAAGGAGCACGTATAACGCAACGCTGCCGATATTAAAAGAAAAATTATTATTTTTATCGTGGATAATTCTCGGCGATCCGAATTTAAAGGAAACAGTAGTGTAGGAAGTGTAATTTATATCCGTGCGACGGGATCGTGTTGGGACGAGATCGGGACGAGAAAATACATGACAGATATCTTTGAACTCGGCCTGCGTGTGCTGCGTGGGTGCTCGGCAATATCGTGCCCGTCCGAGACGTAAACATAAAATAGAAACTGAAGAAGTTTCAGTCCGGTTACCGGTCGAAGAAGAAACGAGGTGTACCGCCTCTGATGAGCTTCGAAACGGAGAGAGACCTTCCTCGAGAGGTTCAACTGCTACTAGCCGGTAACTATTTGTCGAGGAAGACAAGTAGCGCGAAGATATATATATATAAAAAGAGAAAAAAAAACAGAAATTTTCGAAGTTTACGACGAGTACGTATTACGACAATCTCGAAAATGTAGAGCAGAAATTTTCGAACGAAGGAAAGAAACTCTGTTTTGTTGATCCTCGACCCTCTTCCTTCTCTACGAAAATAAACGTAAGCTTCAATAACGCGAAACTAGAGCGTGGTATCGGAGAGACCGCTATTTCGATTTGCACACAATCGAGCAACGCCTTCACTGCTCGCTCTAGATCTCTTAGACGATCCTTAGTTGCTGGATTTAACCGATGCCTCGTCCTTTCTCTCTCTCTCTCTCTCTCTGATCGACGTGCACAGACTCGTTCTATAAGTCGGTAATAATTATTAATTCAAACCCGCTCATAAATTATTCTTGGAACGAGCGTTGGGGATTATTCAACGATTATGCGGCTATCGATTATCGATCGTTTCGATTCGATCGGCTCTCGTCTAATTGGAAAATGTATGACAAATAGAAATTGAAAGCATAGGCCGAGGTTTCGATGATGGTGTGCGGTGGTATATACGTCTGGTATTGACGCAATACGGATCGAGGCGTGCCTAAAATTCTCTATGTAACACCATGTGACACAGATACCGAGATCACCTTTTTCGAAAGTCGGCCCCCATGATCGCGTTGAGTCACTTTCTGTTCTGCTCGAGAATCTCCCCTCGCGAATCCTCGCGATTACTTTTACCTTCGCCGCGATCTACGCGTATCGTAGACGTCCATTCGAGTCGTATATTTTCGGCTTTCTATCGTCGCCTTAGAAAAAAAAAAAAAAGAAAATAAAGAAACGCGTTGTTTGCAAATTAGAGTTGAAAGAAAAGGAAAGAAAAGTTATATCCCGTATTTCGACCGGAAATAATTCCACTCTTATCTCTCGAGAGTATGGAATACGATCGATTCCATAAATTCGATTCAACGCTCGTGTTTTCTTCGACGATCTCTTCGATAAAAATTCTGAGATATTCTCAGAATTGGAAAAAAGAAGACAAGGATTCCCCCCGTGGTGGAAATTCCCTCGGTCGATCGTAATCACGTATCCCCGATTTCATATTCAAGAATAACACACCCGTGGCAATCTAATGGCAGAGGCTAGTTGCCGAGTTCGTTCTCGTAATAAAAAATTATTACGGAAAGAGGAACGAAAAAGAGACGGGGATCTTATCAGATCCCATCAGGTTGCAGCGTGTGTTTCAAGCATTCTTGATTTTCCTCGGGCGTGCTTTCCTTTTTTTATTCCTCGAACGATTCATTTCTCTCGAGTCAAAATACGATTGGCGGACAAATAAATGAAAACTGATCCGGTGGAGCAAATAATTGCGACACGCGCCGATTTTTGGATCGTTGAAATGGCCCAGCCAGAAAACCATTCGTCGAATGACGAATTGCAGAATACGCGATTAATCGAGATTTCGTGGAGGATTTTCCTTATGCACGATTCGGTAACGTTCGCTTTCGAGAAACTTCTAAATATAGTCACCGGTATGGACAAACGTGTTCCACATATGTAATAGGAACAGCACATGCGTGCGGGCTCGTAGAAGGGACGTTGGCGCGAGACCGTGGCGAATTGGTAGCGCGCTCGAAGAATACCCGAGGCGGTCGATACATCGTGTATATATATATATATATCCAAGGAAATAGTAATAAAAACGTGCTACAAAACCAGCAACATTTACTTTCTCTTGCGGCCTTCGTCCGGCTTGCGAATTGGCCGGCCGGTTGGGTTTCGAAAACGGCCTTTCCTCCGGATTTTCACTCGCCGGAAGAGGGAGAGGGAATCGAATACCAATCGAAAAACGAATCCAAGAGAATCGAGCTTCCTCGTTCGTTGGACGAACTTTCTTCTCTCGTTTCTTAAATTTTCCGATCTCTTAACACTAAACCTACCGACATTTCGTGTCATACTTATTCCATGACCGTTGCAAAAAACATTTTTGTCTTAGAATAGAAAGAGATTTTAGCTAATTGGATATTAAACAAAATATTTTTCTGGTGCTACAACAATGTGTGATCGGTTATATCTACACCGAATTTTGCTGCTATTGTAAAGTCATGTGGCGATACAGTAACTTTGTATACAAGAAATTCTAAAGGAAATTTCATGAACGGTCATTCGACCGCGCGTGGTAGTGTTAAAAATTTCTCCAATGAATCGAAACGAGAAGATTGTTGATTCGTCATCTTTCCGGGAACACATTCGTCGAAAATTTTGCGAAATGATCGAAACGATTAGCTTGGATGGAGTCTATCTGCGAGTAGAAGGAAAGATTCTTTCCCTCGAGGAATATTCACCTGTTTCACCAGCCGAAGAGACGGGCAAACGAAACGGGAGGAATATAATTATGACGGTACACGCGCGACACGTACTCCACGATTATCCGCGATAAAGCGCGCGTTAGGTGGAATATTTATTTAGCGGCGATAAGGGCGGGAAATTTATCCGGGACAAGCGGAAATACGCGCGGTGAATATCGCGCAACGAGATTCTTTCGTGAACGAAATACGTTTCCGTATAATTCGAATAATACGCGCCTCGATTCGAGTAATTTTCAATCATCGAAGAAGTCGACAAACAGTTTTCTTCAAATTCGATTGTTATTTCGAGCGGATTAATCGAAAATCAAAAGGTTTTCTTTTTTTTTTTTTTTTTAATAAAAATTAAGATAAGTTTTTACACTCGTCGTGTCGAATATGACCTTTTTTTTTTTTTTTTTTTTTTGGTTCAATCGAAAAGATCTCTGTCCGGAAATTTTAATACAAACGTGTGCTTCTATCTTCATTATTTTATAACGAAGATTTTCAAATGTTGCTTTTTCGTCGGTCTGTCCTTTTTCTTCTCTTCTTTCTTTTTCTTTTTATCCGCGAGAAAATTATCCGCGATTCGAAAGGAACGAAAGGCAATTAAGATATATGGATCTAGAAGCCAATAATTATCAAGGTATTGGGGGAGCATCTTAAGAATCAATTTAATTACAAGTCACTCGCTTGAGCCACGAAGAATCGAAAAACTTCGCGTATGAATATTGAAACGCTCCTCTCGGATCGACTATGCATATTTAATGACGCGTAATAAATAAAATTTCGAGCGTTACATTATAATTCATTGATAATATCTTTGATACCCGTTGGCATATTTTTATTAAATCGTAATGCTTACAAAAGTTTATAATCGTAACGTCTTTTTCAATGCTCCCTCGTGTTAAAATTAATCGATCAAATATTGCACCACTGACCGAATTCACGTCTATCCGAAAATGGAAAGATATACATTATATATAAAGCAAACTTTGGAAAGAAACGAGAGAGAAAAGGGTGAAGCAGAGCCTTCTCGAAACAGCTCGTTTAAAAACACAACGATTAACCTGTTGCCGGCGGAATAAAAAGGCCCGGATTCATTAAAAATGTGTCGAAGATCCACCACTACAATCATACCACGACGATTGTTCACGACGCCATAAATCTGTTTCTGCCCCCTTTTATAATATCGAACTCTCTGTTTACGATCTCGATCTTACGATTTCATCTCGGCTTCAGAAGGAAGGGGAAAAAGAGAAAGAACAGGGGAGAAAGAAAAAGAGAAGCGAAACGAAGGGGAGGGAAAAATAAAGCCGTCGAACGTTACAAAACACTGGGCCTTGGGCCCAGCTGCGCCGCGCCTCGAAGATTCACGAGATCTTCTCACGACACGGGCGTAACTCGTCTCTTCCGCTCGTATTTGTCCTCCATCTAGAATTTAATGGAGTTAGCCAGTTACTCGATATTCCGCAAAGGGACACTTAACGAGGGGAGGAGGAGGGATATGTCACGATCCGTCACAATACGTTGATTTCGTTGAAGCACGTAACACGGCCGATAATTCTTTACTAATTAAGGACACACCGAGGCGAATAAATTGAACGTGGGCAGCGGTAAACGCGAGATATTCGTAATAAGACGTAATGAAATACGGGTTAATCGAGCCGCGTGGCTCGCAACGCGTGAAACGGAAATTTGTACAAATCGGTCGGGAGTTAATTAGAGTAGGTAACGCGATGAAAGGTTTGTTGCTCTCTTAAGTCTCTCCTCGTCGCAGGAATAGAATGGGAATTGGCATTTCTACTTTCTAAATTGAAAAAAACGAACATCGAGAGAGAAAGAATGTTCTTTCGTCATTATTGATTTTTATACATGATCCGCAAAATGTATGTAGCGTTCATTCGTCGATAATTCGAGGAAACTCGTAAATTGCATATTGAAGAAAATTAATCTGACGACGAGAAAACGAATATTCAGTGGAAGAGTAAGAGGATAGTAAATCGACGTAAATTTTGCGGCTCGATCGCTTTTAAGGCGGTGGGGAGGGGGAAAAGAGAAGAAAAGAATCGGAAACAATGAATACCGAGATGAGTTTCTCGATAAAGGAATGATGTCTTTATAGCCGATGCTCGAACGAAATATCCTGTCAAGATTTTTATCCGTTTAATTAACGCGTGGCATTAAGAGACGCGTTCAATTGGACGAATGGGGACGCGGCTTTCGGCCGCCGATTTATTCCGGCCGGTTTATATAGCGAATTATCGATCGAAGGCGGTGTAACCGTGGAAAATTAATTCTTAGGCGCCATCGCTTTCGTGTATACACTTAATAAACCCGTGCACCTCGTTAATTATCACTGGGGGAAACGAAAGTCGCGCATTCGTGACGAAACCGAAAGATCCCTAAAGCGGTAGCGATGGGATCGAATGTACGCGTTGATCAAATTTCAACGGTTTCGAACAATCTGATCGAAAAATTATCTTTTTCTAATTTATATCCACGACACTTTTATCGAATTTAAGCGAACTCGTAGATATTTCGAATGTTCTGATCATTCCAATTTTCTCCTTCAACTCGTGCATCGTCTTTTATACTTTCGTCCATTCCGTCGTAAAATTGCGTTCAAATTTTCAACTCGACCGATCTGTTATGATTAATAGAGGCCGAGTGTCGGATGACGCGCACATATCGCGTTTCTAATTTTATTCCAATTCTCTTAACCGTTTCTTTCAATGCCCATCGTAGAAACACCGGTTGTATTCTCGCTCATTATTAATAGAGCGCTCTATTTCTGATAACACGTCAAAAAACGACGAGGTCGTGAAACAAGACTTCGAACGTGTTCGCCAGACGAGCGTGGTTACACAATCGAAATCGTACAAGGTTGCCGTCAATTTTTAGAGGAAAGACCGAAAAGACTTTAGAAACAACGTCGGTTCAGCGTTTTTTAAGGGGAAAATGGACGAATCAAAAAAGAAGGAGAGAAGATAGAATCGTATTCGTATGAATAAATTGATCAAAATGGCGAAAGATAGAGCGGTGGCTCGTTTGCAACCTGTCGATGATTGCTTCGACGCGCGATAACATTTCGAAGGAAGGAGTGGGGGAAGGATATTGGCAGCGGTTGTTAGCAGTGAACAGAATGGCAGGAAGTGAAAGCGCGCCGTAGGAGATCGATGGTGTTTATTGCAACCCCTGTTGAGCTTACCGGATTCGTCCATTACCTTCCCTACATCTTTCGCCCGCGAGCTTTTATTGGACGGTGTTTGCAAATAAAAGCAACGATGCAACGAACCGCTACGTGTACCGCTCGAGAGATTGACTTTTGTTCGGGGATAAACGGTGAGCTTTCGAAGAGGGAGGGAGAGAGGGGAGGGAAATGGAACAGTTGTAGAATCTCAAATAAGATTCGATCGATTAAAATTGAACTTTGTTTTAATCTCTCGTAATTAAGAGTTGAGGAAAAGTATTCGAGGAATAAGAATAAGTCTTTGAACTCAGTTTAGTAGAAAAAGTAGGATGATAGGCAAGCACGATAAATCGGACTCGATAATAGTTAGAAGAGAATAAATGGAATTAATGTGCAAAAGGTTCCGCGACTGGGCATGCTACTGGCAAGAGCGGAGAGGGCTTGTCTGTTACTAACGGCGATCCACGTTTTGCTCGATAAGGGCGCATACGCCGAGACGTTCACCCTCGGCTACATCACCGGCTCGAAAAGGCGTCCAGGGGACTTTGAGTATCAGCGTCCCGGTTACCGGATATCCGGCGCCATATCGCTCGCCGTGGAGGAGGTAATTGAACCGCTTATTTTCCCCCGCTTAAATACATGGGCCGACCGCAATTAGCACGGAAGCGGATAATCAAAAGCGATAAAAAATTTTTGGAATCCCTTCCTTCTTCTCAGCAAAATAAAAAATAAGAAATTCTCAACTGAGTGATATTCTCGCCCGTTCGAGTCGAGTGAAAATTGTGAGAGAAGATAGAATTTGCTTCGAACAGGGTGAAATGGGGAAGGGGAGGGGTGGTTGAGATTGAACGGAAGGATGTTAGATGGCTCGACTCGGTAGGTGAACGCAGGTGAGCTCGGTCGACGTGGGCACAAGCTCGACTTCCTGGTCGCGGAGACTTATGGCGAGGAGGAGACCAGCATCCTGATGACCGCCGATCTTTGGACGAGGAACATCAGCGCCTACATAGGGCCCCAGGAAACCTGCATCCACGAGGGAAGGATGGCCGCCGCGTTCAACCTTCCAATGATATCTTACGTAAGTCGCGTATTTTCTCTCTTCTTTCTTAGCCTTGGCAAAGAATCCGTGTGCGCGTGTGTGGTCGTTCGGTCGAATGTACCAACGTACGTGAGTCAACTGGAATATTTCCATTCTATTTCTCCGTTAACGAACTCTCCCGCGTTTAATACAAAAGATCTCCGCCTCCGCTCTATGTGACCCAATTGTGTCTTTAAGTTAATGCAATGCGGTTTTTTTTTTTTTTTTTTTACGTTACGTTTGAGAGAGAGAAACTCGGGTTTCTTCTCCCCGTTTTCCTACGATAAAAGAGGGGAAAAGAGGTTTCAAGAGGCAGTGATTGCGCGTGTTTTTGGTTTTCAATTCTTTATTTTTATCTTTATAGGAATTAATAGGTCTCTAACTTTTGCAAAGATTCTGAATTTTTCGTGTAATCCCGTCGAAATTATTTTTAACTTGTTCGATCTAAACGCGGATAAATCGAAGTAAAGAAAAATATACTTGTTCGATCTTTGAGAACAAAAAGGTTTCTCGATTATGTAAATGCATCGAGTTTGCGATTGGAAAAATCTTTTCCAAACATAAAGTTCCTCTTCTTCTTTCGGAAGAACGCGTACTTAACTTTAACTTTGCTTTGGTCAACAAGTTCTCGAAATCGATTAGAGATCGATTAAAACAATCTTATTTCTTTCTTTCTTTAAAAATTAGGATACAGATTTGAGAATCGCAAACAGGCTGATTAAAATCTCGAAAAATATAAGAATTAAAAATCTTTATAGATTAATCGTTACCTCGAGAAATCAGCAACTTAAGAGATATATAATTAAAACGAGAAATTTAAAATCTTTTCACGTAATTCGACGTAACTATTTTTCCATTACAATTCTTCTAAAAAATCTGAAAAGAAAACCCAATAACATCTTTGAAAAACTCGAAAGCTTTTATCCTGCAAATCGATCCTCTGTACACTTTTCAAGTCAGGATTGATGGCGTAGCACGCGACCAAGATCGAGCGTGGACACTCGACAAAAGTAGAGTTTCGGCCCCGTGCAACCCGCGTTCTATTTAAATCAAGGAGCCGTGCACCTATGCATTAGCGACGAACGGTCCCCCTCCTCCGAAAGCGTTCCGTTCGATCGTTTTTTCGCTTGTACCGACGTGATCTGGCGGTGCAATGCAATGGTTCGAGGTACAGTGGCAGCTGGCAGGCCAACAACACCGAGGAAATAAATTATTCGCCCCACCACCCATGAATACGAATGCGCGACAACCGAGGTTACGACACGTTTAACCCATTCACCGCCACGGAATCGTCGGACCAACCACTTTTATCTATCTGTTATGACGTTCAATCCACTCTGCAGGGATCGAAGAGGAAACATTTTGCTCGAATCGATGAAACGATCGAATCGATGTTGGATCTTGCGAAAATCGGGCAACTTCGTTTTTAAAAATTTTCGATGAAAATTTTTGTCGGTGTTTGTAACTTTTATACGTACTTGTTGATTATTTGTTGCGTAAGAATTGGATAAGTCCAATATATTTGTAACAATTTTTAACGCAAGTTGGTCGATAGTGATGTTTCTTCGGCAAGAACCGATTTTTGTTTTACAAAAAAATGTAGCGTTAACGACGAAGGAAAATTTTAATTTTAATTTTGTTATATATATATATATATATTATAACAATTAATAGTGACATAAAGTAGGTCGAACAAATAATTCGACGTTGAAGAATATTCAATAAAATCTAGAAAATGATTGTTGATATTAATAATAAATATATTCAAGGAGGATAGAGTGACACTTACGCGTCATGGAGATTTCCTGTCCTACGCCAGATGACATATTGTATACACTCGCTTCGTGAACTTTTCCAAGAAACAGTGAAAGAGACGTTGCACGAGAATTTTCATTTCTGATTTTTCTCTCGCGCGTAAATTCGTAAATTTGATACGAGTTAGTTCCACTGCTCGGCGTGCACGCTTATTTCACAATTTTTGTTTCCACAATTATTATTTGTACTTATCGAAAATCAGTCCCATCAATTTTTAAAGATTACGCGTTAAGTAAAATGGTTAAGGAACAATGTTACGAGAAGAAAATAAGATAAGATAATGATGACTTCATAAAACTCGAACGAAATACCCTGTCAAGATTTTTATCCGTGTAATTAATACGTGGCATTAAGAGGCGTGATCAGTGTGAAGTTGGACGTGAACGAAAGAATAAAGTTATATACGTGAAATATAATCGAAGTTTTTCCCTTTTTTCTCTCTCTCTCTCTTTTCTTTTTTTTTTTTTTTGATCGAGATGAGAAGCTTAAGATGGAAGATAAGAATCTTGAGAAGAATCTTGTCTTTACAGAAGATGAACATTGGGAATCGTTGAAGGGAGAAAAAAATGAAAAATTGAGGATAGAAAAAAAGAAATTTTTTTAAAATAAATATATTGAAATATTATCTTTGTGTGATACGTGATTCAATCCGTTTTACTTAATCTTGGAGACAGATTTAAAGAGATTAGAAAGAGAAAAGAATCTATCCATTGATTGTATACACCTTGTCGATATATAAGCTGTTTCGTGATTCGTCAGTTATCGATTTCGAATGGACTCGTGCTGAAATTAATCGACTTGTCGCCGAAGATACGTACAATAACTCGTCTCGATGAAAGGAACTACTCAATTTCGTTTCGATGCGTATCGATTTCACATTCGATTTCTATACTTGTCCTTTACATAATACATTGGTTCAAAAAAAAAAAAAAAGTATTTGCACGTATTTTTCGACGAATGTTCTTTTTTTTTTTTTTCTTCTTTGCCATGTTTAACATTTCATTTTCACAATATCCAATTTGTATACATAATACGAAAATATTAAATGACACGAAATGCAATATACTTGAATCTAGTTAATTAATTAATTACAACAGAAATTACAATAAATGATATACTTTTTCTCTGCTTTTTGTATTTCCAATTCACAAAATTCAGAAAATTTATTAAATTTCCCCTGATGAGAAACGCTTTCAAAAAAGAAAAAAAAAAAAAAAAAGAAGAGAAATTTTCAAGATTAAATTTTTTCTCCTTTTTTCATTACTCATACATTTATACTCAAACACAACAAATTTAATTTTCCGTTAAACTCTTCCCCCATGAAAATTAGAAAATGCGACTCGACAAACAGAGGATTCTCCTCTGAATCCTCGAAACCAGTCATTTTGAATAAATAATATCGTAATCAAACGTAACACGGCGTGGATTAATCGATCCAAGTTTAGTGTCGAGCGAGACAGTCGCAAATCACCTCATTGCTCGTTTTCGTTCCCTCTTTTGTTCGATTTTCCAGCGGGACCGTTATGAACGTTTTACGAGTCCAGTTGACACACTAATCACTCGCATTACACGTGTCCCCCCGCTTTCCAACCTGGTAACAGACCAACCTAGAAACCCAATGCAAATTCGAGACTTGCTTGGTACACGTGAAACGAGTTCGTCTTTCTCCCTCTTCCTCGTTCTTCACTCGAAACCTATCAGCGACGTATCATTAGCTTTGGCAAAATTTTTCAGTTTTGCACCCATCGAGAGTCCTCCAACAAGAAGGAGTTCCCTACGTTCGCCAGAACGAGACCGCCCGATACCCAAATCTCTAAATCCGTGGTCTCCGTGTTGATGGCCTTCAACTGGACCAAAGTAAGTCGAACAATCTTTATATCTTGAGAACGTAACACAATTCTTCGTATCGTGTATTTCATCAAGCGATTGATGAATTTAAAGGTAATCGAGGAATTTATAACTTTGATAAAATAGAAATAAAAAATACTGAAAGAGATATTGGCGTTTCTCAATCTCTTTTGCTAAATTGCTTCTCTACAAGCTTTACAAGTTAATGTTAATTTAACGATCGATGATTCACGAAAGAATACCTTTAATTAAAAATTGACTATCATATCTCTTTTTCCACGCAAAGAAACAATCGTATTCAATTTCATCGATTCTTTTTATTTTGATTTTATTCAAATGTATAAAATTTTCCAAGATTTTACTCTCGAAAGTATCTATTCTTTTTTTATCACACAGCTTTGATAAAAGTGACTGATCTTCACTTTCATCGAAATCTCACGCGCAATAACACGACGACGAGTCCACCCCTTTCTTCTTTTTTCTTATCCTTCTTTTTCGTGATTTGTTCAGGTGACGTTCATGTACATGAACTCGACCCTGTTCGAATTCAACAAAATGTCGACGATCGCCGAGACTATACTGGCATCGTTCGAGGCGGCAGGTGTGACAGTGAACTTTATTCGTTGCTGGGAAGAGCCTTACCACGTCACGCACATGACCAATCCGTTCCACAGATACGTCACCGAGACTTACAGGGAGACTCGAAGTGAGTAGCAAAATCGAGCGATTTACTTAATCGTTGAGAAACTCGAATATACGATCCTTTTCCAAATCGTGTGCACGTAATCCGAAAGTAGTCTACCCGCATTTTTAATTCGTTCCATAGAAGGCTTTGTTCAACCCGCAGCAATTGTTAAAGATTTCGCACGGTGAATAGATACTGCTCGTAATTCGTCTATTAATCGTGCGCGCGTTTTCTGTTCGAGATTGTTAAAAATAACGAGGATTGACCCGTTTCGGGTCGATTGAAAAACGAAAAAAAGAAAAAAAATCGAAGAGTTTCTATAATTAGTTAGAATTTGTGAATTTTTATATATAAATAACTCGATATTTTGTTGAAAAGAAAAAAAAAGTTATATAAGTGTTGTTGATCCCTCGTGAACGATACGAGAGAGTGAACAAAGAATAAAGATTTTTATTTTCCTCGTCACCGCTCGATGAATAATTCGTAACGTAATTTTGTTCCAGTTTACGTGATTCTAGGCAATTACTACGAGCACATGGGGCTGTTAATGGCGTTGGATGAGAAGAAGCTCTTGGAAAAAGGTATAAATCCTAAGATCCTGTAGCATGATCAGGTACATATACCAGAGAGCAGTGTCACTAGATAATCTAATATTCAGCCGTGGATTCGAGCTTTACTAAAACACACTTCCCGCTTTCGATTCGTCTCGGAGAGGTTATCACACAGACGTGATAAAAACAATTTTGCACGAGTCCTTTTTTTTTTTTTTTCTTTTTTCTCATTACCATCGATTATTTCCACGCGAGACATTTCCTAACGATCCTATAAATTTCTCGTTACATCTCGTTGGAGAGAAAGCATATCGCGGTGATTCGTGGCGCAGGTGAGTACTGGGTGGTCGGTGTCGATATCGAGCAATACGATGAGAAACGGCCGGACAAGTACTTCCGTGGTTTATGGCAGAGGAAGACAAACTCCTCGATCCTGAAGGCGTATCGTAGCTATTTCAGCGTGGTCGCATCCGCGCCAATTTATTCCACCAACTTCACGCGCATGGTCAACTCGTACAGGCAGAAGCCGCCCTTCAACTTCTCCAATCCCCTCGCCAACATGGGCGGGATCATTCAGGTGACTATTATAATCGCTTACTTATTTCGTCTTTCATTATGGACGATATAACGACGATTGCCATGGTCTCTTGGAATATCAAGTATAGATGATCGATAAACGATTTAAAGTAATTCGTTGTAATATCATAGAGTCATTTCTTATTTCTATATTTCCAAATTCAAAATTATTACAGTTTTCTTACGAACAATCAATCGGTATTTCAAGTAATTTAAAATCTATATACGAGAGATAGGTATTACTATTCTTACTTTAATATTCTAATCTAATTCCATTCTCTATGATACTCGCATAATAAACATCCGCAACGCGAATATATAGAATCGAACATTCTCTGAAAAGCATGAACGAACGAAAAAGAGAGAAAACGAAACAGTAACGTAGAAAATTGTCATCTCTCAAACGTAATCGTTTCGTTTGTGTTATAAGGCAGATCGTGCCGGAGACGGCGTATCTGTACGACGCGGTGCACCTCTACGAGAGATCGTTGCTAAAAGCTTTGGACGAGGACCGGGACCCGCGAAACGGCCGAGAAATGGTCGCGACTCTTTACGGCGTTCATTATCGCAGCGCCATGGGGTACGTATATACGGCTTATCGCCCCCCTCCCTTTATGCAAATCAATTTCGCACGCCGTGCCACTCCTCGCTCGTCTGATTTTTTTTCGACGAAGTGATTATTAAGGAACGGAAGCGAGGAGGCGATCCGTCATCCGTCCTATCTTCGAGCGGAAATCTCGCGGTTCGATGATTAAGAGACGAGTTATTAAGAGACGTGACGCGATTTTCAAAACGTATGAGAATTAAACGGGTATCTTCGATTATTAAATGGCGAGAGAGAAAGAATTGGAATTTTAATCCGTGAAATTAGATCTTGATCCAATGGTTAGATTTTCGAATTTAACGAAACGATCGAAACGAGATGTGTTATTTGTCGTAATTGGAAAATCTGAAAGATATATATTAAAGTATATATTATATGTGAGTATTTTTCGAGAATGAATTTTCTAAACGTTATTTTTCGTATTTTAATTTCGTATTAATTAATTTTAAATTAGCCGTGAGTAGGCAAGCAGAATGTTTGCAAGCTCGATTAATAACGTAGCGTATTTTCATCGGTATGATTTTATTTCGATCCCGAAAATGAAACTCTCTCAACCGAAATTGGCCCGACGATCAACTAAATAAACTTAATCTCCCCGAGATCGTAATAGATGGTATTTATCGAGCAATTCGAGAACAGCGGTTATATATACATATATATGTATATATATGAGATCACCTGAATCACCGTGGAAATATTTATTCTCCGCGTGAGACAGTTTAAAGTTTGCGCGAGGCCAATAAAGCAGAGGCGACCATTATTATTACGATGACGCAAGCGTCTAGAATGATAATTGACCCTACGAAATAATTAAGGGGCTTTCACGCCGTTTAATCCACGCTCTCCCGATTCTCGGGATAATATCTCTTCGCGTCTCGATACGATCACGCAAAATTAGTTGCGTAACCATTTCCTTAAAACTGTTTAACGGGCGGAAAGAAGAAGAAGAAAAACAAGAGGAGGAGGAGGAGGGGGGAAAAAAATTCGAGAATTAATAAAAAAGAGAAAGAAAGAAAAAGGCGCGGGGAGAAGGAGATGATGATATAAAATTGGGAAGGAAAATAACGCATCTCGGGTTCCTTTGCGCAATTTACGAGGACTTTTAGCGGTTGTAAAGCGCAGGTTACGACGACCCGCCTCTCGCATGATACATCATCTGTACAGATATATGGTGTACATGGACGAAAACGGCGACGCTGAAGGCAATTACACTCTGATTGCGCTGGACAATCGGCCGACAAAGGGACACGGTTTATACCCCATAGCTTACTTTGTGGGAAAAGAGAACGGCACGAATCTGCCGGTAAGGCATTAACTGATTTTTCAATGACGCTTTTTACCTGGCCCACCTTTCGTCGCTTTCGTTTATCGCCACGTTTCACTTTGCAGCTACTTCGATTGACGAGGGACATTTCGTGGATCGGTGACGGGCCCCCGATCGCCGAGCCTCATTGCGGTTACCACGGTGAAAAATGCACGTGTACGTGTACAATTTTATTATTATTATTATCATCTCTCTCTCTCTCTCTCTCTCTTTCTTTTAATTCATTCAAATAATTTATTGTTGCAATAATGATAAATCAATTCCGCGTACATTTTTTTTTTTTTTTTTTTACTTTTACAAGAGGAAGCAAGAGGTGAAAGCAAGAACGTAGAATATTCACCCGATAATCGAATCCGATTCGGTGAAGAGGGTGGAGGAGAAGGTCTTCCTCTCGAATTATCATTCGTCAGCTTTCACCTATAAGACGGCTGAGATGATTTTTCTAGATGGCGAGCCAATCGTTCGAAAATGCATCATAAAGTATTTGGGGCGAGTTTAAGAAAAAATTTACGTATGTAAATGTTTTGGAGGCGAGGAGAACGCCCTTCCTATCCCGCGAATACCTTTTTCGTTTGCTTTAATTGAGATCGAATACCACGTGTCTCGACCACGTAACCGCGATTACGTATTGTGCAACAAACGGCAGCCGCCACGGTCGTGACCGATTTAAACGCGAAACGTTTGAAAGCGGGATTACAATTAAAAAAAAGAAAAAAAAAAAGAACGATCGAAATGCACGTTTGAGTCAATATTCAATTTTCACTTTTCAATTTCTGATGTTGGAAAATTTTTAAATGATAAAATCGTAATACTTGAGAGTAAAAGTCGATGTTATATTTATGCAAATCCTGTTAGATTTGAATAAATTTTTTTTAATAGGAGAAGCTTCGAATTTTCATAAGTAAAAAATATATATCTGGATATTATCGTTATAAAAATTAGAATTTTACCAAGGGATGGTAAATTAATAGGCTGGAAAACATTTCGATAATAAGAGAAATAAGAAGGTTATGCGTGGAAGACGAACGCAAGGATGAGAGAAGAAATAAAAGAAAAATTTGCAATGATTTAGCTCACACGGGAGAGATCGTGGGTGGAATAGCCGGTGGATTTCTGTTGATCATGACTGCTGTGGCCCTAGTGCTGTACAGGAATTGGAGGTACGAGCAGGAGCTGGATTCCCTACTGTGGAAGGTGAACTACAAAGATATTCAGATCAAGGAGCAGAAAGACGATTCGTCGGGAATCAACGAGGCGCCTACCAAATGCAATTCTAAGGTAAATGCCTGTTGCCTTCGTTCTGAATATCGTTTCTACTTTTCTCTCCACTCTTATACCAATTCCCTGTTATTTCAGTCATTTACCTCGACCCAATTGATCCCGGGACTTTCGAAGCTCAACATATTCCGCTATCAAATCCTGAACGATACTCTCGTGCTTACCATTATACAATGGAAACGATTTTAAGATTGTAAACGAGGTGTTTCATATAGGGTGAAATTGATTCAATTTTCTTTTTTGAAAGTAAACATTTCTTTTTTCAGAATTTTTTCTCGTTCGTGGTTTAAATGTGCGAAAATTACACCGAATTTGCCGTGCAAGAAAACGGCGCGCCATTTATTAAATTGGTGTTCTTATGAAATGTTATTTTCTGAAATAAAATTTTCAATTGCTAGTATTACTATTATTATTTCCGAATTAACTTTTATCATCCCACAATTTTTCCACTAAATTATCAAATCCTAGAATTCAAAAAGAAAAAAACACTTGGTACTACAGAGCACAGAATCCTTTTCGAAACTGTTTCGTTATTTTATTAATATCAATCGTGGCAATTACTCGACGAAGAAAATTAGATTATTAAAAAAAAATTTAACGACGACAGAGATCCAAACTCGATTCGCGACTTGTACGACGCTGTTACAGCCAAATATTGAAACTCGCGACAAGAAAAATATTGTAGCCTATGTATCGTTATCACACAAGCATTATTAAACATTTTCCAATACCGTCGTACCGAGAAAAATATTTTTCCTGCACAGACGACGACCCAGCCCATAGTAAGAACCAGCCAAGTATCCCTAAGCTCGAATCCCGACGCCGATTTTCGTTATTCGATGATTTACACGCAGATAGGCGTGTACAAAGGGCGGATATTCGCCGTGAAGAAGGTTCGGAAGAAATCGATCGAGATTACACGGGAGATGAAGAAAGAGCTGAAAGTGGTGAGTAGCACGGCGGTCCTCGAGCCGAGGAGGACCATTCCTTCCAGATCGTCCGCCAACTAAGAGAGGATCGTTTCTCTAGATGCGTGACTTGCGACACGATAATTTGAACGCTTTCATCGGAGCGTGCACCGATCCGCCCAACATATGCATCGTGGTCGAGTATTGCGCCCGTGGAAGTCTCAAGGTAAATTCCGTCCGTACAAGGGTAGCAAGTTTGTAATTAAGTAGACGAAACGAACATTCCCGGCTGTAATTTTCTCTCTGTTTCCCATTTTTTCTTTCTTTCTTTTTTTCCCCCTTTTTTTTTTCCTTTTTTTTTTTTCGTTCTCCTCTAACAGGATATCTTGGAGAACGAGGACATGAAGCTGGATAATATGTTCATGGCGTCCTTGGTCGGAGATATAATCAGGGTACGTATTGTTCTGGATATGACAGTTTCTTTTTTTTTCTTTTTTTTTTGGAGTTTTCACGAAGGTACGAAAAATTTGGTGAAAATATCGCGATTTTTTTCGAAACGTAAATAAAATTAAATTTTTGATAAATTGATACGAGAAGTAAGAAGTAGTCTTTTTTTTCTTCTTTTTTTCTCTGTTCGAGTAAAGTAAATTTTAGAAGTTTTCTTTGAACGAATTTCGTTTATATATACATACGTTTGGCCAAAAAACTTTTTATAGGGTGGCACGGTGCAGAATAGGCACGATCCTAGAGGAAACTTTTGGAGTAAATGATACGGGGGCCCGTATGGAAAAGTAGTGGCGGTCGAGATGAAAACAAAATTTTCACAAATTTATTCAATAGCCGAACTTTTCTCGTTTCTCCGTGGAAAAGCTTGTCGAAACTTGACGCTCGTTTCAAGTTTTTTCGAGGATTTCCATCCCTCCCTCGGAGGAATTTTCCATTTCGATCGATCCGAATCATCGCCCCCCTTGATCAAACACTTTCGAGTCTCTCTCTCTTTTTACTTTCGCACTTTTCAGGGCATGATCTATCTCCACGATTCCGTCATAAAATATCATGGCTCGCTAAGTACGTCGAACTGCTTGGTGGATTCTCGATGGGTCGTAAAACTGGCAGACTTTGGGCTGCACGAGTTCAAAAAGAACGCCGAGTGCGAACCGTGCGACGTTATGAAGAAGTATCACGGTAAGCGAGAAGAATATACCAATTTACATTGGACGATCAAAAAATAATGGAAAATATAATTAAGAAGAAATATATCATTTTGAAAGAATAAATAATTATAAGATAAAAACACGCGTTTTAATAATAATCGAGATCTTGATTTATCGATCTTATTTTGATTGTTCTAGATTCAATCTAATTTTCATTTATTCGTGAAAAGTTTCCAGTCTCTGATCCAAAAGAAAAATAAAAAATATATTCGACAGGTTTGTTGTATCGAGCCCTTGAATTGCTACGTTCGACGATATAAAATTTAAGAAAATATAATTATATAAAGAAGAAATATAAATATATCATTTTGAAAGAATAAATAATTATAAGATGAAACACGCGTTGATGTTCGAAATTTCGATTGATCGATTTTATTTTGAAAAGTTTCCAGATCTAATCTAATTTTCATTTATTCGTGAAAAGTTTCCAGTCTCTGATCTAAAAGAAAAATAAAAAATCAATTCGACAGGTTTGTTGTATCGAGCGCCTGAATTGCTACGATCGACGAAGAGTCAAGAGCCGATGGCGCGCGATTATCAAAGAGGGGACGTTTACTCTTTCGCGATAGTGTTGTACGAGCTTCAAGGGAGGCACGGCCCGTTCGGGATCACGGAATTATCCGATTCGGAGATATTGAAGAAAGTGATCGGGCGGGAAACGGACGCGGAACCGTTCAGGTATTACGATTGAAGTCGCGATCTGTCGACGGCAGAAGATACTTAAATTTTATGTGCTTTTGTTTCCACCCTGTCAGCTACTCTGTTTTCCTTGAATTATCTCAGACCACCGTTGAACCAGTTGGAGAACTGTTTCCATTTCGTGCGCGATTGTCTGATAGAGTGCTGGGCCGAGGATCCCGAGGCCCGACCAGACTTCAAGATCATAAGGAACAAGCTGAGACCGCTGAGAAAGGGGATGTAAGTTTAAAATTTGATTAGAATTCCTTTTCGAGAATATTTCCATCCTACGATATTTTACCTTAATAATAATTCAACTTTTGATTCTTTCCACCTTCTTACTTATTTTATTTTCAATTTTTTAACGCTTTAATTCTGTATAGAAAAAAAAAGACGTTTATTGTTGCGAAACGAATTTCGTTCGAATAACGGAATAAAAATCGTTTAAAATAAATGGAATTCGTGAAAAGTAGATTCCGCTTGTAACACGATCCAAATCGACAAGAGGATGAAACGAAATATAAATCCTGGATAAAATGAAACGAGATGAATTTTTTCCCCAGGAAGCCAAACATATTTGACAACATGATGGCCATGATGGAGAAATACGCGAACAATCTGGAAGCCCTCGTCGACGAGCGAACGGATCAATTGACGGAAGAGAAGAAGAAAACAGGTTGCTCGGACCTTAAAGAAGTCGTTCGAGTCTTGAATCGTGTACCCTCGAATTATATTCATTAACCGTTTTTAACTTTCAGACGCCCTGCTGTACGAAATGTTGCCGCGTTACGTGGCGGAGCAATTGAAACGGGGGCACAAAGTGGAGGCGGAAAGCTTCGATAGCGTCACCATTTATTTCAGCGACATCGTAGGATTCACCGCCATGTCCGCCGAGAGCACACCTTTGCAGGTGATTCCTCTAATTTTCCTAAAGAAACGACTACGTATCACGAAGCAATACAATTTTAGAGACAGCCGTTTCAAATTTTGTTCCGTTCACAGGTAGTGGACTTTCTGAACGATTTGTACACCTGCTTCGATTCGACGATAGAAAATTACGACGTGTACAAGGTGGAGACGATTGGGGACGCTTACATGGTGGTGAGCAAAGTATTACGAAATGAAAATAGTTTGATCTCGAAAATATCTGTATAATACGAAAATCGAAAAGTAAAAATATTCAACCGGAAAGAAAAGAAACTCGAATTCTCTTCGACTCTTCAACGATTCTTCTCGCGCGTACGGAATGAATGAAATATTCCTTTTTTTCGACAGGTAAGCGGCCTACCGATTCGAAACGGTATTCAGCACGCGGGAGAAATTGCCAGCATGTCCTTGTGCCTCCTAGACGCCATTAAACAATTCACCATTCGACACAGGCCTCTGGATAAATTGCAACTTCGGATCGGTATACATTCAGGTATACAACGAGAGAACCCCTCTCTACACGATTTTAGCCAGTGTTCCCGCCCGCGACAGCTGACACACTTTTACTTCTCGCTTAGGCCCAGTGTGCGCCGGTGTGGTAGGCCTAAAAATGCCGCGTTACTGCCTATTCGGCGACACCGTGAACACGGCCAGTCGCATGGAATCCACCGGATCCCGTGAGTGATTATATCTCGCTTTCACCGCAAAGCAAAACGGCAAACAAAAAGAAAAGAAAAATTCATCGATCCCATGCGTAATAAATACCGATACTTTTTCGTTTCTTCTTCTTTTTTCGCAGCTTTAAAGATACACTGCAGCGGGGAGACGAAGGAGCTGCTGGATCGACTGGGCGGTTTCAAGATAGTGGAAAGGGGCCTGGTCTCCATGAAAGGCAAAGGCGAGCGTCTCACGTACTGGCTGATCGGCGAGGACCCGATCCTTAGGGAGGAGAGGAGCAGGGAGCGGGAGAGTCGAAGAAACGGCCACGAGGCGAGGAGGAATCCTCTGATACCGCGTAGCTCCCTCAAGAACAAGTCGTTGGTACGATCGACGTTCATGAGGTGTTCCAGCGAGTCGCCCAAGAGACTGCGTTTCGCTAGCTCGGACCAGTTGAATCAGAAATGCGCGAACGGCCAATTGGAATCGATAATCGACAACAGCCCGCGCAAGCCGAACACGTCTCGGGGCGCGGGGGCGCGCGATTCGTGCGTCGCGGACAATTGGAGATCGTCGAGCAACTCGTGCCCCTGCGTGGAGAAGCTCGGGGAGCAGGAAACGCGGAAAGAGTTGGACAGGCATCGATCGTCCCACGCGGACCCAAAGGAGCGGGTGTTTCAGCCGGGTTTCAGGCATCTCGACTGGTGGACGATCGGGAACGAGGCTTGCCTCTCTTGCGGGGGGGCAAGAACTTGCGCTTCGCGCAGACGAGCTGCAGATCCGCGCCCAGCAGCCCGAGGCACAGCACTCTGATCCTGAATTGTCAGAGGCGGGCTGCCCAGTCGAACGAGGAGATAGACGGATGGGATGCGACCACACCGTTGATTTATCATCCGGCAGGACGATTCGATTGACAATCTTTTATCTTCGTATCGATCGGAATGTACGCGATATTCGAAAACTTCTTCTTTTTTTTTTTTTGATATCGCGACGAACTTAGATAATTTGGGGAACGAATTCGATTGGAATTTAGGTCGAGTTTTCTTTCCCTTGGAGATCGTTTTTTTTTTTTTTTCCATTAATCACGTAATTAAATTCGATCATGATTCAACCGAAAGCCGATTGTATCGGAGTTTTAAGTCAATTAGAGAACGGATCGCTCGTTGGCGCGCGCATCGAATATGATTCTCCCCTCGCTCTCAGTACACGACGTACCAAAGCGCACCGTACGTACAAACGAGATACCCAACACATGTATTTATACATTATTTATAACATACGTAACTCGTGCACGGAAATCAGCGCGCCATGTAACGGTATATTCCACGCATTAGCTTAGACAATCAAGAAGGCTCGTGCTTTTTATTCCGCGTAAGTGTCTCTAGTCAATTTACTTTAATTTTTTTAAACGTTACGTTACGTTATATCTTGTATTCCGACGCGACGTTCGGGAATAAAATATTCTCGAAATGATGGAACGAATATTTCTCGTCCTATTCCAACGAATAGTTGCGTTGAACCGACTTGTTCTTTACTGCCGGCACGTAGTACTTATAAGGCAATTATTTATAGAGTAATATATATATATATATACGTACGATACCGTAAAAGGATCGAAATTTTTTTCGATAACGTGTCTAATTAAGGAATCGATATATCGTAAGCGTGAGCGCATGTGTATAAGTTTTGTTATCCCCCTCTTCTAAATAAAGAAATCATTAAGGAAACACGATTCGATCAGATTCGACGAAAAAAACTATTGAAGAATTTTCTTTCTGCGAAAGAGGAAAACGTGAAGATAATCCAAGATAATTTAGCGAGGTGTTTTCACGTTGTTGCGAGCAAGAGTCGACGTCGCGCGTGCACGATACGTGACGGAATGGCGGCGATAACGCGCCAAGATTCATTAAAAAAATTATTAGCATCGAAGAAATTAATTGTTAAACCACGAGACCGCACGCCTTCGTGGTGCGAAAAATCGTGGAGAAAGATCGATCGAAGTCTAAACTCGCATTCGACCAAGCAGTACTCGGATAAAAGTGAACAACCGATGCAATCGCATCGGTGACCGTTTTACCGAGGGAGAAGGTTCGTAGCCGCGTCACGAGAGTCGTAGTCGCGCCGATGAAAGTCCGGTTGCAGCTGTTCCGGGCAGTTGCCACGGAAACGATTCACGGAGGAGAGATTCATCAGGATGGAGAAACGATCGTTTTCGACGAACGTACGTGCGTTTTGCAACGAGCGAGTTGACAGAATGGCGTTAGAAAGTTATTGGCGTGTACGAGCAGGTGGGAAAGGGGGAGCCAGCAGTTTGAATATGCATACCGGTGACGTTCCATTCCTTTTTTAAATATCTAATGGTACTGTTACGTTTATTTATATATATATATATATATATATATATACGAGACAACGTGGTCGCGACTCCGTCGTCGC